AACTTCTTTGGACTGAATGTCTGTTACCGAAACTTGACACTATGCCCAGTGCCAAGACTTGTCAGCATTGCCCTCTCTTCTGTAGATTTAACTGCAGAGCTTTTACATTACAGGTTGCAGTTCAACTAATTAATAAGAATTAATATGTCCATATAAAATAAACAGTTAATTTTATCTGTGGAACCAATTACACGAGATTCAGATTTCTGGGGTTTTTTGTTGTTTTTATTTATATTTTCCCTTAGTTGCTCACATTTATTGCTGATAAAACAAACCTCATTTCATATACTCATGTCTCCATTTTAATTCCAAGTCTTTTTAATGCTTCCAACTTCCAGAAGTGCCAAATGACCACAACACAAAATATTTCTGTGAAGAGCTACCATCTTTGACTTAAAAACCAGCAGGGAACTAAATTCTCTGTTAATTTAGTGCTCAAAATATTTTTTAATTACCTACGTCTTGCTTCTGATTGAGAAAATGTAAGTTTCTATTTCCTAGAACTAGTTCAATGACGTAGATTGAGACCAAAATGCTCCAAGAGCACGAACACCACAGGCATTTCAGAGCAAACATTACAATAATAATAAAATACGAATGTAGCAACTATCCATGCTCAGCTTTCATTTTGACAACTAAATACAGTGCACCACCATGTGGCAACATGTTAGGGAATGGCTTATGTACCAAGACGTTGTTGTGGTTTTTTTTCACCCTTGAAATTTTTTACTATTTGTTAAAAATAAACGTTAGCAACTCCATTTTAGTATTTACTAGCTCCTCTCTAGCAAGCTGATACAGCTTCACTTATCTCACAAGCTAATTTTTAATACATTTGGATTAGCAAGAAAATACTTGGGCATTTTTCTTTCTAAAGTACAAGATCTACCTGAAAACATAACTGCCCCAAGACCAGAGAACAGCTCTAGTTCTTGTCAATTGCACTCCCTTGTGCAAGAGAAATTGGGCACCAGCATATCCTGCACATCAAGCTCATTTTAAAACATAAATACATTTAAAAAAACAAAATCAGTCAAGCTAAATGCTGGACTCACGGCTGATTAAAAGCTTCAAAAAATCTTGGAAAAAAACTGAACACTTGAAGATATACACATGCATTATTTAGCAGTTGCTCAGCTCCTGTCCAGCTGCTTCTTTTCAGCTTAACAACAAAAAAACCTCCATTTTTTTCCATGAGAAACACCAACAGAAGGTCCTGAAAACCCTAAAAAAATCCTGACTCCTGAAGCCATTACGTGCCACTTAGTACCCTGGAACATATTTCTGCTGCCAAATGTGAAACTGGGAGGAAAAAGCAGGTTTTCTTTAAGCTGGGTAGCCTTTGCTCACACAGCACAGTGCTGTATTCACTGAAATTATCAAATCTCAGAAGGTAGGCTCAAGTGGGTCTTGTATTTGTTAAATATAGAGTTAATTCATTAGGCCTTAACATATTTGTTAGCCATTTTGTACCAATACAGCCAAGTCCAATCTGAATTAGCAGCGAAGACTCGCTTCAAAGATCAGTCTCCCACTGAGAACCTGCATTCACCATCTCAGCTTCAGGCTCTCCCACAGCTCACTAGACCTAAAGGCTTCTCTAAAGCTGTTAAGAAATCCAACAGAAAATTGGGTGACACGACAGGCAACCACGCAAGGAAGGCAGGTAGAGCAACGGGTTTTCACAAGCTCTGCACCTCGAGCAGTGGGAAAACCTGTAGTGGAAGAGGCAGGAGCAAGCAGAGCTCTCCTTCCAGAGCCCAGGATGGACAGACCTGCAAATTCTATTCCTGCAGAAGTTGCAGAGTCAATCCAAAGCATTTAAAACCAGAAAAAAAAACCACACCCCATTAATCCACCTCTCCTATCAAGGTGATGCTGAAGTTTCTGCATGTCTCAAACTCCAACTCCCCTCTTTCCCCTCTCCCCCAGCCCACCCTCGCTCACAGGCAGCCTGAAAAAAACAACAGCTCTGCTGTGCAATTAAGACCATCGTGATTTTCTGCCGAAGACAAACCAATTGCAAGAACACAATGCACATTATGCAAGTTGCTGCATAGTTATGCAAGTTATATGCATATTTTCGCTCCGCAGCGTAGCTCACTGTGCCGAGGACTCTGAAGACACTTGTTTGATGTGTGTGGAGGCTTAACTCCTCTTTTGAGCTGTCAGATTTTCCTCTACTTGTCTCAACTGGCTTTTTTTTACCCCAAAATTTCAACCAGCTGCTAATAATACTAACGAAGCTCTGCCAGTCTGTGCAATCGCCTCGGCTGTTAGGAGAACACCACCACCTGAGCACAGTGTCATCCAAGTCCACCAAAAACCAGGTCTTGGGAGACATCCCAGGCAGACCACCAGCACCTCATTTCCTGTAGATACCCCCCCAAGCTCAACACGGCCAACAATGGAGGAAAACATCAGAAATCTCTTGAGACAAACAAGGCCTCACAGCTGGAAGCACCACTCCACAAGCAATATAAATTTAAGACTGACATGAGCACTCCAATACTGCACAAAACCACGATTTTGTCTGAACACCCCACAAAAATGTATGGTGTGGTGTTCTGTTTTTTTTTAAAATCAACCTCTGTACCTCTTCTGCAGTCAGCACTGGTGGGATAACAAGACAGAGATTTCACATACAACCTTTCATTTGAAAGTAACAGGGAGGAACTTCTCCAACGATGCAGGACCCCTCGTTATTCCCAAGATGAGGCACACAGAAACTGAAGCTTTCTGGATACCAAAGGCATCGGGTTTAGGGGGAAATACATCAATCTACCATTTTTTAGCAGACCACTCGGAGCTCTATCAACATACTTCACCACGTTGTTTCTAATTTCTGTCCTTTCTCTCCTTTTTTACCAACACTGCCTGTAACAAAGCCCAATTAACATCCAATTAACTTCCAAAATCCACCAGCTATCCCACACAACTCCAAGAACTTGAACCCTGCCACTCACCAGAACCTTCCTCCTCACCAGCTGCAAGGACACAACCACTTCCAGCTCAAGACCCCTCCGAGCTTCCAAAAGGAAACGAGGTGAAGGTCAGTGCCTACACTTCTGAGAAGAAGCACGAGCAGCTCTTTTGGAGAGGAAGGATTCATCTTACTTTGGGAGTAAAATGCAACCTAAGAGCGCTGGCTTACGCAAGCAGCAACTATTTATCCACAGAGTAAATAGAGCCCGTTTTTAAAAGTAGCTCACGATCCTTCCCGAGGCTCACATGTTACCCTGGAAAAACAAACCTGAAAGCTACCCAGGACCCTTCAGCGTAAGGCAGGGGAAAATCTAGCAAAGCTTAAAGAAATCAGAAATCCCATTTAAAAAAACAATTTAAAAAAAATGGGGGGGAAGGGGGAAACTTAAAAGCTTTACAGCACTGAGCGTTTCAAAGCTTTCCAAGGGATCTACCACCAGGATCCTTTCCCTGAAGCAGGGCAGGACCTGCCAAGTGACAACCTTACAAAGTTACCCCGCCAACTCTCAAGGAACAAGAGTATTTTATTTAAATAGCTCCTGATTAAACTCAGCGTTTAAACACTGTAGCAAGTTCTCAGCTGCAGGCAGCAAGGCGCTTCAGAGACCTTCATGCAAATCATCTTCATCTCCCCCCCCAAAAAAAAAACCAACTACTAACAAACCACCAACCCCAACAAGCCCTCCTCTATTCCCAGCAGCAGAGAGAGGATTACACCGTCCCTGAAGAACGCAAGTTGCTACTCCGTGAGATTTTTTAAGCAGAGATTTCCAGAAAAAAAAAACACAAAACAACAAACCAAACAGAACCAACCACCACAAACTTCATCTCCCCCCCCAAAAAAAAAACCAACTACTAACAAACCACCAACCCCAACAAGCCCTCCTCTATTCCCAGCAGCAGAGAGAGGATTACACCGTCCCTGAAGAACGCAAGTTGCTACTCCGTGAGATTTTTTAAGCAGAGATTTCCAGAAAAAAAAAACACAAAACAACAAACCAAACAGAACCAACCACCACAAACCAACACATCCAAAAAAATGGAGAAAGGGGGGGGG